AACATTCTTATCACAAATGAGGATGTTCTCAAGATTGCCGATTTCGGTTTGGCCCGCACATTTCAAATTCCCATGCATACTTATACCCACGAAGTTGTTACATTATGGTATCGGGCCCCGGAGATATTATTGGGAGAGAAGCACTATACCCCTGCTGTCGATATTTGGAGTGTTGGCTGTATTTTTGCGGAATTGGCTCGGGGTAAGGTTCTTTTTCGTGGAGACAGTGAAATCGGACAACTTTTTGAAATATTTAAGGTTCTTGGAACACCAATGGATGCTGAGGGGTCATGGCCGGGAGTATCTTCTCTTCCTGACTATCGCGATGCCTTCCCTCGTTGGGCGGGAAAATCACTTGTTCAAGTGAATCCACAGCTTGACGGTGACGCAATCGATCTTCTTTCAAGAATGCTCAAATATAGCCCTGCTGAACGGATATCGGCAAAGGAGGCACTGCAGCATCCGTGGTTCAATGACGTTAGAGTTTAGATGCGTAACGCATTGTAGATAATAAAAAAATTTTTAGATGTTCTCTTGATAATTGAACATTTAGTTCTTGGTTGAGAATTTTTACTGTTTATTATCATTATTATTAAATGCTATCAAACACTTCAGCAGAGAAAAGGGGTGTTTGACGTAGAGAAGATTGTTATTTAGTTGTTTTGTCTTTTGAATGTTTATCTTTTGAATTCATTTTATATTATTGTTATTATTGTTATTATTTTCCCTTAGGAACCTTGGCGGGATATGTTTGTGAGGTCTGTATATAGATTTAATTAAATAATAATAATAATAATAATTTGCTCTCTCTCTCTCCCTCTCCCTCTTCCTTGTTTTTATTTTATTTGGTTTTGAATTAGAAGTAAAATGACCAAGCTTTCTGAGGAAGAAGAAAAACTTGCTAGAGCTGCAATTGAGGAGAATGATACGTTACGTCTGATATTGCAAGAGTCTGCCGAGGGAGGCTGCGCCAACGAGGAAGCTACTGGGCCAAGTGCCGATAGAGTTGATAGTATATTTGCACTTAAACGTGGCAATGATATTTTGAAGGGGGAAATTGCGGATCTACAAAGTCAACTTGATGCTTCTGATGTCAGTACTGCGGAGACCGTTCACAAGTTCAATCGATTACAAAACAAAAGAGCACACTTGCGAAATGAAACTCGAAGCCTAGAAAATATTGCGAATCATCAGGCGCCAAAGGTGAAGGAAGCAAATCGACTTGCCCTTGATCAGTTAGCAATGAAAAGATCATGTGATGAGAAAAATAGGGTCTCAAGAGAAGAAATAAAAAAACTGAAGGAGGTAAGAGAAAAGGAAATGGAAAAACTTTATGCTACTTTGCGCAAGGAGGCGCATCTCAAGGAACAGCTTGAAAATGCTAATTTGCTGTTAAATAGTTCTGATCGTCAGGCACTTAAGAATGCTATTGTCTCAAAAGACAAGGCAATTCAAATGCTAGAAGAGGATATTGAGAGGGCTCGAAACACTCAAGAAAAACATACAAATTATGGGAGTGAATACAAGGAGGATAGTTTGGCGGAACTTCGCAAAGAGCACGATGACCTTCGCGAACAAATTCAAGCGCTTCAAATGGTTCAAGGGCCACCCCGCATGTAATTATAAACATATGATCAGGGATGCATAATATATATATATATATTATGTGTATTCCTCTTGTCTTTGTCTTTGTTTTTTTTAAATTGTAGGCTTGTGTCCATGCGTGATGTGTAATTTTTCACCCTGTTTTTATAATTTCACATCTTCTAGTTACATCTTTGCTTGTCTTATGTATGTAAAAAAAAACCATGTATTTATGGGCTTCATCAATATGCTCTGGATTCATTCTTCATCGTAAGCATTTCCTTCTGTAATTTTTTATCATTCTTATTGCTTCATTTCTGCCTTCTGAGTGATTTGAATTCATCAATTCATATCTGTCTGATTCTTTTTTTGTTGTTGTTGCTGTTTGTCGTTATTTATACCAATGGATTTTCCTGTTCTTCAGTTCACAATAAGAAATGAGGCGCTTTGGCATAATTACTTTGCGTCAAATCAATGCAGCCCGCTTTGCGACGCCCCAATTTCTAAAAACTGTTCCCAGGCTGCGAAACATTGGTATCAGCGCCCATATTGATAGCGGCAAAACGACGTTAACAGAACGCATATTGTATTACACTGGTCGAATTGGTAAAATTCATGAAGTAAAAGGGGGAACAGAAGTTGGGGCAACGATGGATTCTATGGAGCTTGAAAAAGAAAGAGGAATTACTATTCGTTCTGCAGCAACCCATTGTCAGTGGAAAGACCATGTTATTAATGTTATTGACACTCCTGGACATGTGGATTTTACCATAGAGGTTGAGAGAGCTCTCAGAGTTCTTGATGGAGCCATTATGCTTATGTGTGGTGTTGGAGGCGTTCAAAGTCAAACACTTACCGTGGATCGTCAAATGAGACGTTATGCCGTGCCGCGCATTTGTTTTATTAATAAGCTTGATCGTGACAATGCAAATCCTCAGCGTGCACTTCAGATGGCGCAGGAACGGTTAGGTATAAATGCTGCCTTTATTCAGCTTAATATGGGCATAGCGCAAGATTTTGAAGGTGTTGTTGATGTTATTGAAGACCGTGCTGTATATTTTGACGGTGTTAATGGAGAAAATGTTCGCTTTGAGGAAGTTCCTGCATACATCAAGGATGACTTGGAGGCGGCTCGAAAAGAACTTATTGGAAAGCTTGCTGAATGTGACAGTGAAATGGAGGAACTCTTTCTTAATGATCAAGAACCAACTTCGGAAATGATTCATGCAGCTATTCGACGTGCGACACTTGCTAATAAATTTGTCCCTGTGATGCTGGGTTCGGCTTATCGTAACAAAGGCGTTCAGCTTCTTCTTGATGCAGTTTGCCGGTATCTTCCGTCTCCTATGGATAGGAAGAATGCGGGTTATGTTCTGAAGAGGGTGAAGGATGAGGATGGAAATGTTTCCAGCGTTAAGGAAGATAAGATTGACTTATTGACAGACGACGAAAAACCACTTGTTGCACTTGTGTTTAAACTCGAAGAAACCAAAAAAACTGGACTTTCAAACTATGTTCGCGTGTATCAAGGGAAAATGCGGAAGGAACACCTTTTAAACGTGCGAACTGGTAAGACCTTTTTGCCTCCAAAGCTCGTCCGCATGCATGCTGATTCTGCTGAGCAGGTGGATGAGGCGAAGGCCGGCGACATTTGTGCAATTCAAGGCGAAATTGATGCTTCGTCAGGGGATACAATTATGAGAGCAGGTCCAAAAAGTGGAGCTTTGATATCTTGTGAAGATATGTATATCCCTCCAAGGGTCATTTCTTCTTCTATTAAGGTAAAGAACGATCGGGATCTGAACCGGTTGCGGGACCGTATGGCTGCATTTATGCGCGAGGACCCGACCTTTTCTTTTTATCGTAATTCTGAAACCAACGAAGACATTATGGAAGGTATGGGAGAGCTGCACCTGGATATTTATGTTGAACGCCTGAAACGTGAATACGGTCTAGAGGCTGAACTTGGGAAGCCGACAGTAAACTATCGCGAGGTAATCACAGAGAGAAAAGAGTTTGATTTTGTTTTTAAGCGACAAAGTGGTGGTGCAGGACAGTGGGCGCAATTAAAAGGATATATTGATGTTCTCCCTATTGATATGTCAGTGGAGAAGGGCGTGAAGAACAAGGTTACCGTCAGTTGCTCTAACGGTGATATTCGTGAATCTCTTCAGAAGTCTGTCGTCAAGCAACTGGAGCGCAAAGTCTTTGTAAAGGGAGAATTGATGGGAGCACCAGTGTGGGGAGTACACTTTCATCTTGGTGGTGGTGCTATGCATGAAGTTGACTCAACTGATATGGCCTTTAAAAATGCGACACAAGAGTTGTGGGAAACACTCTTGCCACAACTTAAGCCTACACTGGTAGAGCCATACATGGATGTCGAAATCACAGTTCCGGCGCAGTGTATGACCGAGGTGGCGACAGAATTTGCGAAGCGTGAAGGTGTTGTGACGGAAACCACTGTCAATGGAGTAGATGCAGTGATTCGTGGAGAGACGGCGCTGGATACCATGTTTGGTTTCATCTCCGATCTTCGGCGCCTCACAAAGGGGCAAGGGGATTTTGGAATGCAGTTCAAAGAGTACAGGCCCATGCAACCGTACAAGGCTCAAATCCGCATGGACGAACGCAATAAGGAAATTGGTCGCAAGTTGTACAAACTTAGCGGGGAATGATCTTTTTTTGTTTGTTTTTGTTTTTCAGACCTGAGGAAATATAAGGCGCCAAGGGTTGGGTTAGGAAGGGCGAAAGGGTGATGGAGGAAAAACAGCAATTAATAAAAAGAATAGATGTAACGTCGAAACTGAGAGAAACGATAGGAAAGTACAAAAAAAAATGCGTTACAACGGATGGAAACCTTAAGAAATCTTCCTGACTCCGTGTTCCTGCTTTATGGAAGCACGGCTCTTCACACTTATGGTTTTGCTATTGCATTTTGTTTTGCTCACTGCGCTGTGGTGGCCAATCGAAATCAGGGATGAAACAAAACAACAACAACAACAACAACAACAACAACAACACACACACACACACACACGCACACACAATGGCGGAGGCGTGTGGCTTGGCGTATTCAATTCTCAATTTGGCGTTTCATGTATGCGTCAGACAATGGGTATCTTATTCGTAATACTTATTTCTCACTCTCTCTCTCGTGATGATTTAACTTCGACGGACTGCTAAGGTTTTTCAATAGGAGCAAAGAGGCAAAAGTATACAAAAGACAACAACAACAGGAAGCAAGCAAACAAAAATAAAAACAACGTTAAAAACGCAGAACTCAAGAAAACGGTAAAATTATGTTAATTCCGCTCAATAAAACCTCCGTGAAGCTGGAGATGCGGGTACAAAACCGTGCCGGTCTTACCGGTACTGTACGATGGGTTGGCGATGTGGATAGGAGGAACAATCCACTCGGTGTGAAAGGAACCTATGTCGGGGTCGAGTTTGATGAGAGCACGGGGTCGCCAGAGCGCAGTGATGGGGCCTGGGGGAAGCATCGCTACTTTACATGCTCCCCCGGAAAAGGCGAGCTCTTAAAACCCAAAAATGTTTATGCCGAGATAAACTCCAAAGTTGTCGCCTCACTGAGGCAACGCTATGGAGAGAAGGTTGCAGATTGGCACGACTTTGAATTGGTAAAGTTTTGCATCGCCCGCAATTTTGAAATGGGGGCAGTGTACACCATGATGGAGAATCATTTTGAGTGGTTGGAAAAATTTCAACCATCCGACGACGAGTACTTTCCGGATTCCATGTGTGAGGATTACCCGTGCGGTTACAGTGGCGCAGTCGACTACGACAACAACATTATCTATTGCGAGCGCCCCGGTAATGCGGGGAAATGCACACCCGCTGCATATATGGAACGCTACTCAACCGCCGTGATAACGCGTTGGCACGCTTGTGCGATGGAAATGGGGAAAACAATTATGAGGGAAAGCAACTACAAATTCAAGCGCGTCTGTTACATTGTTGATATTTCCAATGTTGGTTTCACTATGAATCGATCTCTTATTGCATTCGGGCGAACAATCGCCGCAATTGATCAGGCGAATTATCCAGAGCACCTGGGGAGACTGATAATTGTGAACTGTTCGAAATTGTTTCGTGTGCTGTGGAAGATGATTCGTGTGTTTATTGATCCTGAAACCGATAAAAAAGTAAGTTTTGTGGCGCCTGGTGCTGGGGTGAGTGTGCTAAAGCAGTTTATGCGCGAGGAGGACATTCCTGATTTCGCCGGGGGGCCAAGTAAGGCATGGCGTACCAACAATGGCCGCATTGGTTCAGCCGATCCCCTTATGGAGTTCAAAGGAGTGACAGTCTTGCAAAGCATCGCGTCGGATGATCTGCCAGAGGTTTTCGAGGAGCTGGATGAAGAGAATCTTTCTCAGGAAGATAAAAGGAACAACAGTTCCAGTGCTGCCGGCTCCTCTGGATCTAATTCGGATGGCAGCAGAATAAACGGTTTAGCCCATTGAGAGCATGCGCTAATTGCTCTTGTTTCTGTATTTTTTTTTGTGTGTGTGAGTGGGGGATGTTGAAACACGTTGTTGCTGCGTAAGCAGTTGACCCCTCACTTAATTACAGGGTGTAAGTTCCTTTGAAGCGCTAGCATATGTGTGCTGATTTTGTTTTACCTAATTGGCATTCAACGTTGCACCAACTTTTCCGGTATCCGTCACTACGGACGCTTCAGGAGGCAAAGCAGAAGAAGAAGAAAGGGTCGGCGATGAGTATATATGCATTTTTTTTCCCCTTCCAATGATAAGTGGTGCCCCATACATATGCGTTGTAATTTATAGAAGTTGATGTAATTTGGGGTTCCGACTCCATTGTTGCATTTTCCGGGCCCTTCCTACTTGGTGTCTATATAAGAATGTCGTTTTTATTTAGTGATGCGGGCAACTTAGATTGGGATGGACGTTTTCCCGGGCCTCGATGAGAGGGGCCCTCCCGGCGTCAACGTAGGTGCCGCTGCTGTTTTCCGCGGCCAACCGCCGCACCCTGGCCCCAGTGGTTTTTTTTTTCTTTTTTTCTGCTTTGAATGATATATCGATTTGTTGGTGAATTTAGAGCCTTTCTTGGAGGAGGAGGAAGAGGGGGCGAGGAGGTGAGGGAGGAGAAGGAAACAATCACGGTTTCACCTGCGCCTTTTCAACACTTCTTGCGCAGATTTTTATTTTTCATTTTCATTTTTATGCGGGTGTTTGCTTGGTTGACTGCTTGTGATGGACTCTCTGAATATTTTCACTTCTCTACTCACTGCTTCAGCGCTCCCCCACTTCTTCCTGGGTCTGGTTGGCACCGGAGTGCCTTCTGGCGTGCAAGCAATAGTTGTGCATCGGTTACTTTTTTTGTTTGTTCTAGGATCACTCTGTGTGGTTGAGTAGTGGAGCTGTGCTCTCTGCATGCGCGTGACAAAATATATGTGATTGACTGGTTCTTTTTCTTTTTTGCAAAAAAAAAAAATTCCCTGACGACAGATTGTCTTCAGTGGTGCATGTGTGGGGCGTCTTTGCATTGGTTTCATATCACTGCCTGACCTTTGTTTTCCTTGGAGTGCTTTCTTACCGCCCCCACTCAGCCCGCAACTTCCAAAGAAGGGTTCATGTAACGCCATTCTTCAATTTTCCGTCTCCTCTGCCGTGTTGGCTGTCGCTCCTTCCGCACACACACACGCACACACGCACTCATGAGGTAGAAAGTGCTGTAAGCGTATTTTTAGTGCCACAGCTAAGGCGACGCAGGTACATCTGGGGAACGGAGGCGGAACAATTATCCCAATCGCTAACGATACCGAGAATGGCGGAAGCGACTCACGCCCTCAGGGACCCTTGGTTTCTCAGCTACATCCCTCAGCTTACTCCAGACACAGTAAGGTTTGATTTCAAAGGGGACTGGAACAGAGCCAAACTGGCGCTCCAGCAGCCACTTGACTATATTCGTACCGTGGAGGAGCTCTGGTCGACCATCAACTCTTTACCAAAGTTGCATCAACTGGGAAACGGTAGCACGTTTATCTTTGCTCGTAATAACGTTGATGCAAGCTACGAAGCGTTCCCAAATGGCACACGAGTTCTCGTAGATCTTTACAAGGCATCCGTTGCGGAAAAGGGCGTGGATGTTATTCTGAGCAGCGTTCTAGGGGAAGGACTGACTGAAGACGTCTGCAACGGCAAAACGGTGTGTGACGTGCTGCGGGTTTCTTCACGTCCTAATCAAGAGTCCCCGGAGCTGGTGCGTTTAGAGGTCTGGCTCAGTGACCAGTCGTATGCCAAGGATGTAGCACCGTATATTAGAAAAGGGCTGATTGAAGCTGGTTTGAGTTCCACTGAGTTTATTATGGGTGAGTCAACCTTTGAGAAGGATAAGAAGAAGCACTCAGTGCTCGGTGCAAAAAGTTAATTGCGGTTCCTTCTCCATTACCCTTTTTCCTTTTTGTGGTTTTTCCTCTTTTCACTGTTTTTTCTCTTGCTCGTTTTCGTTCTATCCCTTGAAGGAGGGGGCTGGCGTGCGCTCGGAGGGAGAGGGGACGCAGCCGTGATCTTTGAATTCGCTCGGGAGGTGAGGTGCGAATTGGCTACGCACGCCAAAACTGGTGTTTTACTGCCGCCAGGCTGTGGGGAGTCGCATAGGGGCAACGATGGACGCTACGCAACGAGAGGAAAGGAAATGGTGTTGGTTGCTGTGGAACGCCTCTGGTGTAGTACTAACGCGCACCCGTTCTCACTCTCTGTATGTCTCGCTCTCTCTCTCTCTATATATATATATATGTGTGTGTTTCTCTCTTTATCTTTTGCGCAGAAGGAAGGATGCAGCTTTTCGTCAAGTCGGCGTCCGGCAAGACCATTGCCGTTCAGGCCTCCGCGCAGGACACCGTCGCCAGCCTCAGGGCTAAGGCCGGTGTCTGCGATGGCACCCTCTTCTTTGGTGGGCAGTGCCTCTGTGACGAGGCCGTGCTCGCCGCGTACGGCCTGCAGCGCGAGAGCACCATTCAGGTGATGGTTCCTGTGGAGGGTGGCAAGGGAAAGAAGAAGAAGAAGAAGGTCTTCACGAAGCCCAAGAAGCCGACGCACCGCCATAAGCTGGAAAAGATGCGGGCGCTCAAGTACTTCAAGGTGACGGAGAACGACGACGGCTCCTACAAGGTCGAGCGCACCCGGGACGAGTGCCCCAATCCGAGCTGCGGGGCCGGCGTCTTCATGGCCCAACACAAGGATCGCAAGTACTGCGGCAAGTGCTACCTGACGTACGCAGCCAAGTAGACCCGCTTTAGCGGCATCACGACTTCCTTTTGAATGATTTTGTTGTTGTTGTTGCTGTTTTCTTCTTTTTTTTCTGTTTAATTTTATTTTATTTGATATTTTGTGCCAGTCGTCGATGGGCGATTGCTGCCCTTTTGTTTCCCTGCTCGTCAACTGCGTCTTCTAGGATCTGCTGTGCTGCTGCTCATTTTAAAAAGTAACTTCGTATTTTCATTGACGTTTGTCTGCTGTTCCTCTTCCCTTCCTCTTCCTTCTCTTTTTGTTTTTCCTCTGTTTTACTTATTTGAAGTATATATATACATACTTTCCCTTGCCCGCGTGCGTGTCAAATTGGCGGGGGGAGTCTACCGCAGTGCGGTCCGGCGATCGCGTCGTTCACGGGAAGGTAATGGGACTTGATGACATTGACGAGTGCGCCCCACCGCATCGGGGTAAGGTTGTTGCGGGTGGGCGGGGGGAGGTCCTCACGGGCAAACCCGTCAAGAATGGCAACGGCGGCAGTGGCTCCTCAGTACCGGTGCAATTTGGTGAGTTGTTTGGCGGGCCTCTTCTCTCGGGCAGCGCGGCGTCGGCGGCGTCGGGTAGTGGTGGCGTCGGCAGCGGGCGGGTTGGTTGCGAAGCGCCCACCTGCGAGACGGCGGAGCCGTGGGCCTGGGCCTCCGGCGCACTCCAGCCACAGGGCCATCATCAAAGAAAGCCGCAGCCCGTCGAAAATGCGCCTGCCGCATCGCATGATCCGCTTGATGCCTTTTTTGCTTTCTCTGCCCCCAAGGCACAGCCATCCTCGTCGGCGATGCAGGGCCAAGCCCCACCGACAGATCTCTTTGACTTCTCTAAACCGGCGGAGCGCGTCCGATACTCGGATGAGCATTCTCTCCTGGAGGCGTTTGAAAATCAAAGCAAGGGACGACGGGCAGACGTGCGAGACGGCCCGTCCCTAGCCGACCTTAGCCAGGGCTCCTCCAACAATGTCGTGAAGGCACGTTTGCTGAAAATAATGAATTACTACGATATCTTGGGTGTCACCCGCGACGCCACGGAGGAGCAGATACGACAGAAGTACAAGCGAAAGGCGCTGGAACTGCATCCTGATCGTGTGGGTCGCGACCAAACACCAGAGGAGGTGGAACTATTTAAAGTAATGACAAAAGCACAAGAGGTTCTGTGCGACCCAGAGGAACGCGCGAAATACGATGAGAAGTTGCTAGGCTCCAACATCGGTGTGAGTGAGGAGGCGCAGTGGCTCTCCTATCTCCGTTCCCAGTGACGGCAACCCAACTTGTACCGGCAAGCATGCCTCCCCCCCCCCAAAAAAAAAAAAACATATATGCGCATGTACGTATGGGCGGCTGGGGTGTGATGTTGTTGAGGCACTTCTGCGCCCACAACCCAACAAGTGTGTCAATGCCATCTGACGGAAGTGACAGGAGCCGCAAGCCGAAGAAAAAAGCGATGGCGATCGTGGAAGCACCTCAAGGTGTTCTAATATTGCAAACAACAGAAAGTTGGAGGGAGCAAAGTCCCCTGCGTGTGTGTTTGAAGGAAAAAGGAGGAGGAATGACAGGTGCATGTGCATGTGCATGCGCCGCAAGCACGGGTGAAGGAAGGAAGAAGAAGAAAAGACATGCGTGAGGATAATTTCTTCTTTTATGTTTCCTACCTCTTTCTGTGATTCCCCCTCTTCTGCTTTCCTTCAACATGAAATTGTGCACGTTGGGGGCATCACAAGGAATAGGGTGAGGGTCAAGGCACAACAAAGCTGAAATAAATAGGTAAAGAGCGGTAGTAGGAGGAGGGAAGAGCAACCGTGCCTATTTGAGCCACAAATAAAACAATGATGCGACGCAGCTGCACTCTGTTGAACGCCACCTGGAGAGAGCAGGGTATTAGCTATGTGAAGTATCTTAACGTTTGCACTGAGGCTCTTCACAGCGCCATGAAAGAGAGCCGCCGCGTAAAGTACGAGCGCTACTCAGCACCTGGTTACGTGGCCCAGAAGCCTGACGGCGCGGGCGGCGTCGAGGTGATTAACAATGTTCCTTCGCACACCAATGAATACTAATAGCGGCGAAGGAGAGAATTTGTGTTTCTGTGACTGTGGGTGAAATTGAAGAAGGCATAAAGGAGAGGATAGTGAGTGAGGCAGTTTGGGCAAGATTGTATGCGAGGCTGCCGCAAGTGTGGAAGCAGAAATTTAGCAGCTGCGTATGATAGGGAGAATTCATGTCTAAAATGGGTTGACGCCGTACACACACGTATGAGAATGGTATGAATTCAGCACCGGGTTGCACACTTTGCCCATAGGAACTGAGTTTACATGTGCGAAAGTAATGTTTTTTTGTTTTTGTTTTTTTGTTTCTGCCTCGGTACTCTTCTTTCTGATTGCATTCGTTCCTCTTTTTTTTTCTCTTTTTTTTTTGCTTATCTCTAACCCTTTACATTGTTTCTGCCTGAATAATGTGATGCACATGTTTGCTCTGCGCTGCCACTTTGGGTGCAGACCATTGTTGGGCGCCGGTAACAGGGGCCCTCTTGAAGTCAAAGGACCAAAAGGTGGCAAAAGTAGAGGAGGGGGGGGGGGGAAAAAAATTCCTGGGGCCGATGCCGTGGTACCTCAGTACCTTTCGTGTCAGCTTCTGCGCCATCTACTCCTACTTGGCCTACGTGCAAGTGCGGTGGATTGCTGAGGCGGAGGAACGCTATAGACGTTCCCTGACATGGAAGCCCGCCGTGGGCACCATATTTGATCACAAAATTGTCATGAAACGTGGGGGCTCGAGCTACGTGCAGTATCGCTTTGAGGTGGGAGGCAAGGAGTACCTTGGCGACCGCTTCCGCAGCGGCGGCATCCACAAGGAGGAGATGGTGTCCAACCCTGCCCTCCTCGGTGCGGGAACGCAGCTTGTAGTGTACCACAACCCTGCCGATCCAAACGAGAGCGCCATCAAGCTGCAGACCGATCGTGGAGCAGAATCCGTGCTCCTTCTTGGCATTGCAGTCTCGCTACTTGTGGCTTACAGGTCTGTGCGATGCGAGACGATCCTGCCCAACATGTTTTACTCTTTCCTCGGCGTGAATCGACGAATTGGCGGCATCACAGGCTTGAAGGAAGCTCGGACTCATTCAAGGCAAAAGATGAAGTACGGTAAGGGGACAGGTGCCCTTTGACAAGGGTGGGAGGGTAAACGCTAGGGAAGAGAGGGACAGAGAAGGAAGGCGACGGGAGAAGTTACACTCTCTCTGTGTGATGCCCATTGCCTCCTCACAAAAGCTGAGATCTTTTCTCTGCATCTACCGTGAGCTGTTCCGTCTTATCGGCGAGGTTGCAGTCCTTCACTTTCTTTGACCATGGAGGATGTTTCCACAGGGGGTGGCGGGTGACAAAAGCCCTCACATTTATCCTCCTTGGCCATGGGTCTTTTATTGTCGTTACAGTCTTGCCTTTAAAAAAAAGGCGTGTGTGTCCGTGTGGTTGCTTGCCTTTATGTATCTGTGCGGGTATTGGTTTTGCTTCATGCTTCCTCTCCGTCGCCCTTCACGATGGAACAGGGTACTGCGGCTGCTCTTCCTCTTCGCTTCTAGGGCTATTATTTTGTGCTTGTTACCTTGAAAGGGGGGGCCAACAAAAAACAGGAAAGAGCGTGAGGACGAGGTAGCTTGATAGATAGAGAGAGAGAGACAGAGGGAGAGGGCTGCGAAGGTGGCACATGGCTGAGCCACGTTCTGCCAGCAGTAAGGCCCTTAGTGGGGCAAAGCGAAGCGGCACTAGCATTGAGTTTGATGTTGCAGAATTCATGCAGGCTATGGATTGCACAGAGAAACACACCATATTGGGGATCGACGAGGCGGGGAGAGGTCCCGTGGTTGGACCCATGGTATACACAGGGGCCATGGTCGCCCTGCAAGAGCATGATCGTCTCGTAGAATACTGTGGAGTAAACGACAGCAAGGTGCTTGGGGAAAGCCAACGGAAGGAGGTGCTTTCTAGGCTTCAGGAGCTGAAGACCTTCAGGACCTTCACTGTCGTTGTCACACCGGATGAAATTGCCGCTGCCATGACTGGCATCCATGGCACTAATCTGAACACGCTCAGCCATGATACAGCCATCAATATCATCTCCAAGGCAACTCTAGAAGCCGCAGGAATGTTGTGCGGTGCCTACATCGACACTGTGGGTCCACCAGAGTCTTACCAGCAGCGTCTTTCCGGCCGTTTTCCGCATTTGCGCATCACGGTTGCAAAGAAAGCAGAATCAAAGTTTCCCATTGTGGCGGCCGCCTCTGTCGTGGCGAAGGTGGAACGCGATAGTCACATCGAACGTCTTGGCATCGACGTTGGCAGCGGATACCCAAGCGACCCCAAGGTGATGTCTTGGGTGCGGTCCCACGTCCATCGCTTTTTTGTACTGCCCCGTGCATTCGACTTTGTGCGACTGAGTTGGGGTCCCGTGGTTGAGCTCGCCAAAAACCCAGACGTCTGTGTCCCTATGGTCTTTGAGGAGGACACCAAGACGAAAGCAGAGAAGAAGCGCGCTGCAAATGGCGGAGGTGGCGACGGTAAAAAGCAGCGTCTTTTGAGTTTCGCCAAACCACCACCCCGCCGACACACGGTGTATACGCACCTGCTGAGGCTGAGGACGGTGGCGACCATCCAGGATACTCGGCATCCCCCACTGGTGTAGCGTTGCTGTAGATTTAAAGCTCTCCTGCATCTCACATCTCTCGCGTCTCTGCATCTGACATTCCGTGGTTGTGGTGTGGCGCAGTAAATGTTGCAAGCCGCTCTTCTTTGCCCATAGATATTCACACAAAATTTCAGTGATAGACATAGAAGTCTGTGTTGAACTTGCTGAAGGTATGGTCGCTGTTGAACTCGGCAGGTGGCGGTTACTGCCGATTCAATGAAAAGACACCGTGGGTTTTATTTATTATTATTATTATTATTATTATTATTATTATTATTATTATTATTATTATTATTATTATTATTATTTATTTTAATTGGATTTACCCCTCGCGACTTTATATAATTCTATTGTTTGCACCATTTTTCTCGTGTTCCGTTAAAATTCTAATTCGTTTAGTCGCAGTCCACAAACATCTTCTCAGTGAAGTGGAAGTGGAAGTGGAAGAGGAATATCTATCTTCTGTGCTTGACGT